CTGTATATTTTGCATTTCCATTCCTTTCAGACTAGATAATAAAGAGAAAGAGCAATGTAACGAGTCATAACATTTAAGTACTTAAGATGCCTATTTTATTTATTTAAATTTTTTTTTTTTTTTCTGGAGAGGTTTTTGCGTGTGTGCTTGCTAGAAAAACAGAGAGAGACAGAAAGCGAGAAATCACCCCTGGAGGGGATGGCAAGGCCACAATCTCTTCTCCTCCATTCTCCTCTCGGGATCTTGGGCATGCACGTACATGCGCCTGGCATGAGTTTAAGTCATTGGGCCTGGTACTAAAACCACGGTTGGCTATGTGGGAGTCCAGCGACATAGCCATCATGCTAACTGCTAGTCCCTAAAATGCCTATTTTATAAAGTAGCTTTCTTTTTTATTTTTAGGTTTTGGGCCTAGAGTGCATATGCTTGCAAGAGAGAAAGTAAGAAATCACCTTGCCCCCTCCCCCTAGGAGTGATGGCCAAGTTGCAATCCCTCCTCCATTTTCTCCTTTCTGGATTTTGGGCACACACGCACACACTCCCAAGGAGATATTCGAATTACAGGGTTCAATACTCTACTTGTGCTGGCCAGGTGGGATCCAGATGGCTTACCCTCTATGCCACCTGCTGGCCCCAAGCAGCATTCTTTTTAAGAGCTGTCATTAATGAAGTATCTGCCTCTCTGTCAGCATGGCTGTCCATAAATAGTCAGCATGAAAACAGACAGAAATAGCCTATCCTTTCAACGTACCTGGCCATTGACACATTTATGAAAAATCAACATGACAAACATCCATTAACACCCTCTCTTTTTCCAAAAATGTGACATCCAAAGTACGGTACATCACCTAAAAATGTTGACAAACTTATTATTTCCAAGTCGAAATAAACTCAGCCTGAAGGCACTACCGGCAAGAGTTAAACCTTTCATTCCACAGGAAGCTGCCCCCACCCAAGCTCCCCATCATCAAGTTATGACACAGGGAGGGCTAGGTATTAGGAGAAAGATTTATGTAAACCCATCAAGATGGCTGAGGTTACCTTGAAAGGACGATGCATATCTGGGCGTTTGTATCGCAGATAAATCAGCCCAGCAACAGCCAGCCCAATAAAAAGCCACCTGGCAAAACTGAGGAAATTCAAAAGACCGTAGAGGTCTCCAGAGAAGAGCATTATCATGGTCAAAGGGTGCTGGGGGAAGAGGAAGAAAAGCTTGGTAAGTTCAGTGAGAACACAGGCAATAGCACATCGCTGCCGGTTATTGTCATCTTTTTCAATTGATTATTTATCCTGAGAAGCTACTATCATGATTAAAACCTCGATGCAACTAGCCTCTTTCCTACATTCTGTTCTTATCATCCTTTGACCCAGTAAGAATGCCCCCGTGAGCCTGGGTGGTGGGATTGCATATGTGTGCTTGGATCTTAGCTCCTTTTCCATTTGAGAGAAGTGAGTGGGTTCTATAAGAGTAAAAATGATGATACTCAATGACTCAACATTTAAAGACTCAAGAGACCAAGACGATTCATAAATAGCTAATAAGACATGCGGAAGTGCACCCCATTGGAAAATCCAGACAAAGCTCTGGGAACACCTTCTGATAAGCGCTAGGTTATCCAGGCACATGAAAGGCATGTTCTAGATGATTCTGTTGGCTCTCGAATGTAAAAGCACTGACCTTTCTTCCCTCCCCATTCACTCTCCCTGTGCGCTCACCATGGGTGACCCTCCAGACTGTGGAAAGAATGGAGCGCCAAGATGAGCAGGGCAAGTCTCTGCAGCTGCTCATGCCAAGGCTGCCATGACTGATAGCCAAGGCTTAAAAGGAAAACCCTCTTCAAGGAATAATATGTTCTATTCCCACAAGTGATGTGAACTTCCAGAGAGTACCAGAACTTTAAAAAAAGAAAAAGAACTTTCAAGGGAACATTCTGAAACAAATTAAATGCATTCCTTGGTGTCTCTGACAGCTGATTCCAGTGGAGAAAAATGTTACAAAAATGCTAACAAAAATGCACATAACTTTGCCGGTGGCTATCTGAGGACTCTTACACCTTCTCCAGTCTTTTGTATCTCCCATCTCACAAACCCTTTTCTTTGCATAACAGATTCTACAACTCTAATTGAAGTTTTGGTGCATTTATGTCTTTCCTGTGGGGTTGCTCACAAATGTTTCCCTTTTAATCACAGAATCATTGCACTGTCTAGAATTTCCCTGAGTCTTTGAATGATTTTGTGTGTGTGTCATTGTCAGGGCCTAGGATAGAACCTCTGGGTATTCTGACTAGCTTTTAGCTCTACCTTCACTAAGCAGAAGGGACTTTCACCCTCCGTCCTTCTCCTGAGGCTCCGTTTCAGTGAAAGCAACCTCACTATTCATTTCCCTTAGACCTGACACATTTCTACAAAGGTATGAAAGAAGTGATGTGACTCTTGACCCCAAAGCATCAGATAGATACCAGGAATATTGAGTAAAAGGAAGCAACGGCCAACAGCCTGGCTCCTGAACTCCACGGTGACATTTGTACATAGAACTGACTTAGCAGTGAATGAGAGGGGAAGGCACCGCCTAAAATCTGGCTGCTATTCCTCTATGTAACCTGTCGTTTGAGGTTGTATCTAGATATACTTGTTAATATGCATTACCAAAACAATAACAGCTGGCAGAGGAGTGTGCTTGCGGACATGAATCATGGAGAGGATTTCTGGAAGGTGACCCTCTCGAGACGCAACATAGAATAACCTGATGGGAGAAAAATGTGGGTGGAGTTGACTGTGTAAATGATCATTTCAAAGGGGAAAAGCCAGAGATCCCAGCAAATACTTAAGGTCTTTTGTGATACCAAATGATTTGGTATTTCTTAGGCGATTATTGAGATTTCACTTTCCGGATAAGGTAGAGAACATACTAAGAAAATCTGATTTGGAATTTTACAAAATCTGCCCACATCTTTTATATTTCTAGGAGGAGAAACAATAGCATTGTTCTGCCGGCCGATAAATACTTGGTGGTGAATTTAGGTCTAGATTCCTCATATTGTGTGTATTCTGTCAATCCAACCCAATAAACACAGACACACAAACACAGGTGCCCACACACACATACAGATTCATATACGTAACTGTGTCTTCATCTTCTATGGAAAAATAAAAGGGGCTTTTGCATTGAAACAAAATGAAGGGAACACAGATGGTGGGGTGGTGATTTCTGGTGTCTCTTATTTTACTTTTCTCTTGCCATCTTTAGAGAAACAAAAGATTTTATCACCAGAAATAAAATGCTGCTGTTAGACTCTGTGGACACACTATAAAAAATGCCATGTCCGGTTCGAGCAGGCTAAGCGTAGACACACAGTGCCCTCTACTGGACAGAATACGACATGGCATAGATTCTGAGACCAACTTTTCAGTCTCACGTCTCTTTAAAAACAACAGGTTTGGAGGCACTATTTCTTTTCTTTTCTTTTTTTTTTTCGTTTTAAAGTTATCCTTATCACATCCAATCTCAAAAACAGAAATGTGTTTCTGGAAATACATGAACTCACTCACCTGGAGACAGCAAACACACCACCATTCATGGAACCGAAGCAGGAGAGGGCAACAAAGATCGGAACCGCTAATGAGAAATTTCCCAGTAGCCGCTCAGAAAAGGTCTAGGGAAAAAAAAGAGAGAACGAAGCAAATTAATGCTTTGCCAGAAAGTAGAATAAAATGAAACAATTTAGGCCAAACTTGCTCTATGACTTTCTATTAGCCTGGTGATACGTGTATGTTTTATAATCCTTCTCTTTGGTTCGGGTCAGGCGAACTCTGCAGACAATGATCAAAAGCAGGGACCATGGCATTGCTGGCTGCAAAACCGCGAGCAGAGGTCTAAACAAGCACCTTCTCTCTACTTTCAAAAGCAATGATCCATTTACCAAACCTTTATCAACTATGATGTGTATCAGAGGGAAAAAAAGCTCAATTTAAAAGTTCTACTTTAGGAGATAGAAATCCTTCTGCACATTTTTTATAGTCAAGTACAAATGTACACTGGGGATTTTACAGATACTTGTTTCATGCACTAATCACACTGTGAAGTGATAAATAAACTAATGGATGACTTATTCTTTTTGTGCTGTAGGGTGCATGCACTCACAGGAAAGAGAGAGAGAAACAGAGAGACAGAAAGTGAGAAATCACTCCACAGGGTGGTTGACCACAATCCCTTCTCCATCCTCCTCTTGGGATTTGGGGCATGCATGCACATGTGCCCAGCGTGAGTTTCAAGTGACTGGGTCTGGGACTCAAACCGTGGTCTGCTATGTGAGAATCCAGCGATGTAACTACTACATCATCTGCTGGTCCCATGACTTATTCATTTTAATGATACAGTTGAGGAGCTCTGAAAAAAAAAATTTTTTTTTTTTTTTGGCCCAGAAAAACATCACACTAGCTAATCCTCTGTTCAGGGAATCATTCCCTCCATCTCAGGGGTTGGCCAATTCCTTCATGGTCTCCAATAATTAAGCTAGGGTGAAAGTACATATCGGAAGAAGTCAAGGCACAGAGACTATGAATGATAAGACATTTGAAGTTTTCTTTGATGCCATGTGCAATATTGCAAATTTCCATGAAAGATGTATTCCTCCTCCCCCTTCTTCCTCCCAAAAAGAAAAAAACAAAAAACCAAAAACATGGGATTCTTTAGTTGTCCTTGATGTCACTGGTGCTATATAATTAACGGACCCCATTACGCCCACAGAAGTGCTGCCCTTTGTCTAGATGGATGAAATGATTGACCCGACATCAGTAAGCGTTGTAGGTTTGATTGTCTGTTGGGACTTATAGCAGTGGGCAAAGTCTTTTAATACAGTGAACTCATATATAGGTTCACACGAAATGAGATAAATTATCCCCTGTGGATGTTGCTGAGAGGTGGCAATACTGGCTATTTTAAATGAGAATGACATCCAGGGGTGGGAGGCTAATTTTTCACCCTTCATTGTTACAGGGTCATGAGTGAATGCTCTCTTACTAGCTACGTTTTTATGCAAAATAAAAGTACGTGCCACAAAATAACAGTCCTATAACCTGATCTTTGAGGACAAAGATGGCCCTGGTACCAAATACATTTTAGAAAGTTTGTTGTGAAATCGTGCGTATTTACTTCTTAGGGACCTAAAATGCACACTATCATCTTTAATATTCTGAAAAGTACTATGACACCATCTGTTTAATGTTGAAGAACCCAGTATTTCCTGAATATATGACTATCCCAGGACTAGTATTTACAAGGAGATCCACCTGAAAATTCTTCTTTTCTATCTTTATTTTTTTTTTTTAAGAGAGATTTCTGCTATTGGGCGCACATGTTTGCCAGAAAGACAGAGACAGAGAGACAAAAATTGAGAAATCGCTCCAAACAGGGATAGCCATGCCTCAATCCCTTCTCCTCCATTCTCCTCTCGGGATTTTGGGCATGCATGCACACATACCCAGTGTGAGTTTTAAGCCCACAGGTCTGGGACTTGAAGTGGCCAACTACGTGGGAGTCCAGTGACATAACCAATATGCCATCTGCTGGCCCCTACCTGAAAACTCTTCAAGTGGTACTCTGGGAAAAAGATTTTAAATTAGTATCTGAAAAGTTTGCAACCACCAAAGAGCACAAAATAAACTGCACTTTGCATGTTAAACATTTATCTATCTAGATAAATCCATTTATCTAGATTTGGTGACTGTCCACCCGTCCTTAAAATTATGTTAGAAGAATAATGCCTTCTTCTTAACAAGGTCTGACAGGTTTTCAAGCATGTATATGTGGCAATGTTTCACAAGAAGTGGAAAACAAAGAGAAATCATATAGAAGTTGAGCTAGATCTGCTCAATGGACTACAGTAAGGTGTGCTCTAAATTTTTTAAATATTCATTATCATTCAGGTCAAAAAAAGATTACTGCATTTCAAAACACATTCTGCTGGAGGGAACTACTATAAAATTACCATCAACTCATTAACCTAAATTCAAATTGGCATTCTCCCAACTTGGACTTACCACAGCCACCGCGTTTGAAAGCAGCAACTCTTCTGCACTAATGGTTGTAAAGTAGGCCACGTTTGTTAGCACGTAACCAATGGTGACAATGGCCATGGATATACATATTGCAAGGGGGATGTTTCTGAAATACACAAAGGAATCAGTTCTTAGTTAGCTTTTGTTATTCTCTGATGCCAACGAAGTTAACAAGTTAATTCCAATGTAGACTCTAATGGTATCGACAAGGGCTACGTGCTCTGAAAGCTAGGTCTAAACATTTCATGGGGGAGAAGTACCTTTATAATTTAATAAGGTCCATGGGGGGATACTCTCAGTTTTGACTCCTGCTATACCCCCAGAACATGTGGTTCTATCCCATTTTTGTATCCCCTGACTGCTACGACAGCAATGTTTCTCAAACTGATGCATGCATCAGTGTCGCCTGGAAGGCTACCACTGAGCCTCAACCCTGAGCTTCTGACTCAGTAGGATTTGCACTTCTCAAAGTCCCTAGAAAGTTCTGAGGCTGCTGACCAGGCAATCAGACTTGGAGAACTTCTGTCCTACAGGCCTATCTAACACTCATTCACTACCCCATCACCCTTCTCACACTAGTCTTCCAAAACGCATGTCACCTGCAGGGCTTACTCCTCAGAAACTACTACAAATCGGTCCCGATGTTTGGACACGTGATAGTGGGACACGTATCTACCTTTCTAAATAATAGCAACACTAAATTTGTACCTAACACGAGAAACACATAATAACTTTGCACTGCCCTGCCGTGAGTTCAAAGGAAGTTCCAGATCATGAGCGTCTTATAAAGCAACGCGGCAGATAATCCCGTGACATTAGAGGTGACACGCTGGGACGCACAGACGACCGGACAGGGCTGACACAATGTGGCATCCAGAAGTACCTGGCACGAATGCAATATTATGTCTTCATTTACTGCCCTGGGAAAGCCGGGAAGTTACTGACCCTAATAATTTGATTCCATGTTACCGATACACATTACTTGCTTAACATAATCGCCTCTTCCGACTCTTTCCAGCAGTTCAGGCAACTTAAACCTTCAACCCTCTGCACAAAGGCTGATCCTTTTTTTTTTTTTTTTGCCATAGTGCTTATCAGCCCTCATGGAGCCTTCACCTTGCTGGCTGCCACTAATGAAGACCTCAATATAATTTCTTCCAAGATGAGAATGCAGTTCAGAACCAGTGTGGAAAAAAATATATATATAAAAGAAAAAAAAGTTAAAAAAAAAAAAAAAGGCACAGTCTGCCTCCCTACCCAAGCCGGTGTGTTTAGCACACTAAGTCCCAGCTCATTATGCAGAACAGCAAAATCCCCTGCTGAGAACAGGCAAACCCAGCCAGTCAGCAACTGCCATTCATTATGCTGCTTGGAGCCTGACACTTCCCCTGATCCCCAAAGCCTCAAGCCTTGATGGGGAATCACATTGACCTCTAAATCCTCGCATACTCGCATACTCTATGAAAGTAGCAGATGTTCCCCCTCCCCAGTGTGAGGAGGGTCCTGTGGAATTTTCTGCTAACACCATCCTGTGCATTGCTGGTTGTGATTGATAAATGCTACATTTAAGCAGAGGAAATCGCCGGGCCAATTAAATCTAAGGGTGAATGGCAGGAAGCAAATGAAAGATGAATTCTTTTTGAAAGAAAGGGTCTATGTCAATGGAGAAGGGTAAGAAGAACACAAAGGTGTATACGCAGCTTTTCAAGCACTCACTATATTATTTTACATTCAAATCCTTCCAGCTTTTATAATATCCCCAAGTGGGGAGCCAATGCTTCCTGTGGAGGAGAGAGACAGAGAAGGAGAGAGGGAAATAAAAAGACTCTCTGTTCCTTGAGAGAGTACAATTAAGATATGTAAAGGTTCCGTGAATGAAAAGTGAGATGGCTTACTGCTCAGAGCAGTGAGGGCACCACACCTGCCCGGACAGGTAATATTGTCACATTGAATTATGCTCCTAAAAAGAAGAGATAAAAGTCTGAAACGTGGGAGTTTGGGCTTCCCAGCATCGATTTACTCTCCCAGCCCAGCTCTTCCAAGTCCATCCACCCTGCCTGGCTCTCATGGTGTCTCTGAGGGTGGTTTTCAAAATAGATCTTAGCCGAAGAGGGTCCTAGAAAATTCAGCCTTCTCTGTTAGTTTCCCTTCCTTCTCTGTTTGCTGATAACACAGACAACTGCCACCAGGCTGCGAATGTGCCCGACTTTAATTAGGCCCCTTAATAGATTGGCCTCATTTTATCCTTGGAGAATCCTGTACGTTCAAAATGTCAGCCCTGTTTTATCTGTGAGGAAATGACAGCTTCAAGAGCTTAAATAATTGTTTAAGGATACCAGAATGTAGCCATGCATACATGCTACCTCGAATCTGGGATTTACCCACTAAAGTATGTCTTCTCTCTCTCATAGGAGTCCCTAGGCTATATCCATTTTCACAGAAATCACAGTTGTTGAATTTAAAGCTTACTGAAAAGTTCTTTTCAGACTGTATTTCTCATGTATTCACTGACAATGAAGTTTTTCCTACTATAAAGGAGGGAATATGTCTGCCCCATGGCCTAGTGATTAAACTGCTAGGTCTCGCATGGGTGACCACAGTTTAGATTCTGGCCTGGTGGCTTAAAAGACATACTGGGCCTATACACATGCATACCTAAAATCCTAACAGGGTGGAGATATGCAGGAAAGGGAGAAGCACCCACTGGGGAGTCAACCCCCTTCCCTGCCCCCTCTCTCTCTGGTAAGTGCACTCGGGCTGTGTCTGTCTCAAATTAAAGAAGAAAAGGAAGAGGGAAACTTTTTCCATGGTTACTTTTAATCATATTTTCTGTCTAACATGAACTATCATGTCAGGTGAACATTTTTGAGCAATGGCATTGTTTAGAAAATAGGTATTTTACTATTATTAGTTCAAAGAATACAGAGGCTCACTGAATACATTTCTCTAGACAGCGTTTTATATAAAAGGAGAGAAAGTAAGCTGAAATGGGTGAATAATTTTGTTATCTTCCAAATAAAGTATATACAGGTGCCAGGAGGGGAAAACAAATCACAGAAACTTAAAATACAGGACAAAAGAGAAAGACACCCTGCTTCAGTTGCAACATACAACAGACAGTGATTCCTCTTTAATGAGATCGAGTTGAGCCATGGGAAGTGGCAGTAACAAGGCAAAATAGCCCCACTGCACTTCCACAAGGGGAGAAGAATGGGAGACTCATGACTGCCTTGGCGTGAAGTCGTCACTTACAGAAGAGAGTGGTTGACTTGTTCAACAGGACTGGGCACCGTGTGGTTAACTTCTGGGTTTCAAGCATCAAAGCATTTGAGCCACTGGGTGAGCTGATAAAAGCTATTATTAGGCCATGGGGACCAGGAGGTGGCATGGTGGTTAAGGTGCTGGACACTTCCACATGGTCAACCAGGGTTTGGGTCCCGAACCTGGAGGCTTGCTGTCTCACATTCTGTGTGTGTGTGTGTGTGTGTATCTGGCCAAATTTAAATAAATTAATGAATAAATTTTTTAAAGGGGACCAGCAGTTAGCGTAATGACTATGTTGCTGGACTCCCACGTAGTCGACCACAGTTTACGTCCCGGACCCGGTGGCTTAAACTCATGCCGGGCGCATGTGCGTGCATGCCCAAGATCCCGAAAGGAGAATGGAGGAGAAGGGATTGCAGCGTGGCCATTCCCCCTGGGGGGTGATTTCTCGCTTTCTATCTCTCTGTCTCTCTCTGTCTGTCTGGCGAGCGCACGTGCCCTATAGTAAAAACCTCTCCAAAAAAAAAAAAAAAAGCTATTAGGCCACACCAGAGCAATCTTTTTGGATACTTCAGATGCAGAGGACAGAGAAGTGTGGTTAGTAACCCGCGATCAAGGCAAATGGTCCATGATAATGAGAGGAATGAGAGGAAAGCACCGTAGGTACCAATATCACAGAGCATCTCTGCTACTAGGAGGTGCCCACCACGCCCTAATGCAACAAAAGCATTGTCTTTAAATTGAACATGAATGACTCACACCTTTGAGGGCTACTCCCTCTCAAATGCACAGGTTCGGCATGATTAACAAAATACAAACTTGTGGAAAAGAATGACTTAATCCTGATGAGATTTTAGTCATTATCTATGTTCTTTTCAATCATTAGGCACTAAGGGTTTGAGGGTTTGATATTTTGTGGGCTTCAAACGGGTCAATCCAGAAAAATCTTAGTTGTTTTTTTTTTTTTTTCCATAGGCTTATTTTAGATTGGTACCTATAACCAGCCTATCTCACATGGATAAATATTTTTTATTTGAAATTACTCATTGACATTCTCAGAAATATTTGCCTATAAGCACCTGTTTAAAAATCCATTTGTCAGAAGGCATGTGCACCTGCCAGAGAAAGACAAAAAGAGAGAAAAGGGGTGGGGGGAAGCACCCCCCCCCCATGAGGAATGGTCACACTGCAATCCCTTTTCCCTCTCTCCTTCCCCTTGGAATTTTTAGGAAAGCATGCACATTCACCTGGTGTATTTCTCAAACACCAGTTCAGGACTCGAACCACAGTGTCAGTCATGCGGGATCCAGCTGCTTTAACAACCAGACCGTGGAGTCAGCCCCAAATCTTCAATTTTAAACCAAAAAACCAAGGCTTAGAGAGGTCAAGTGACATGGACTGGAACTCCAACCTGGATCTTCCAGCTCTACATTTATCTAGTCACAATATCATGGCTACTTTGTGCCTACTTTAATCCTAGGTACAAGGTCTGTGGGATTCTTACATAGGGTCAAGCATATATTGCATCTTGTGCAAATGACACAAATGTAAGAAGGCTGATGGTTGACAGTGTGACACATTTTAAGCCAAGTATATTCTTTTACACACCTGATAATCACTACGAAAATTTTACAAGTGATACAGCATGAGATGCCTTTTTAAAAAATATTCTTTGCAACTTATGATAGAGCATTGGAAATGATTGTTTCCAGTGCTTCACTTTGCTATAAGTGACCCCTGCTATGACAACTGAATGAGTAAATCTAGCTCAATTCTCCAGCGTCAAGGACAGCTGAAGGTTTAACAAATTTCAGACATTCAGACCACATGAGGAATTCTCTA